TCTGGCTGAACAGATAGCCTACTATTTTTTTTATATTCGCTCGAACGTAGTCGCGGGCAACAACTAGTTGTGTATTAAAACACTAAAAAATCATACGACTCATGACGAATTCAACATCCGTAACTAATTTCTCTGATATAGTTCCAATGACATTTCGGGGAACCCCTGTTTCCTGAAATCTGAAAATCGTAGTTAGCACAGACTTTCAGATTATGGATAATACAAGTTTATTTATTCATTTTCGTATTGAAATTTGTTTACTTTATTTGGTGATTGATTAATTAATGTTAATCACCCTTAACTTAGGGTAGGCTACGAGCCCCTCGGTGGGGACGTTTAGTGAGCTGATGATGATGATGATAATGATATTAAAAAAAAAATCTTTCGTCCGTTTTTTTAATAAAATTCAATTTAAAGTACTATTTTACAAAGATTTTTATAGTGTAGCATATATTCTTAACAGTATCTATATAGTAGAGTAGATCTACAAATAACCTGAATTCATTCTCTACGTAAACATTGTTATAGAAAGTAAAACATTATGTAAATGCGCGTACACACAACCTTAAGTATGTATTTATTTAATCTTACTTAATAAGTTTAAGTAATGTTATTAAAAATAATTAATAAGATAATTAAACAAAACATATTGTTGATTTCTGAGACTAAAATCCATACACGAAAAATTATATATAATACTTATATATAAATCCTTATATATAAAACTTATAGCCTATATAAGTACTAATGTTTAGATGGATGTTTGTTAGAAGCTATCCCCAGAACGGCTGCATTGATCTAGCTGGAATTTGGCATGTAAATTATATCTGGAAGAACACATAGGCTATTTTAATTAAGTTTATTTTATAAAACCGCGCGGATGGAGTGGTGTGCGACAACTAGTTATAATATAAAACGTAAGCATTGATTATACGACTAGACTGTAGAGTTGTGAATAATTAGAACAGTATGACCAATATCAAGTGGTCTATATTAAAGGCTTATTTAAAGAGAAAGTAGACACTTAGTTGACCACCTCTTCATTACGCAATAATATTGTAACATTATAATGATATATCTGAATGCTTTTGCAAGCGGTTAAATGTAACACTTCGTAATTGTTATACTACAGAATTAGTTTGTGACCAATCTTGACTAATCATTCATAAGGAGGTAATATTTTAATTTAAGATCCAGGAATTTGAATAAAGAATTTGCTTACCGTTAATTAAACAACAGTAGCTGAAACTTTCGAATTTTTCTGCACGGGTTTAAAAAAATCGTTATTGGGTTATGTTTTTTTTTATGTTTTATAAGCTAGCGCTTGACCACGATCCTACCTGGTGAAGTGGAGATTCGGTCGAAAGATGGTACGCGCTAGCTTAGTAAGTGCCTATTCACTCACTATGTGTTCTTCAAGACTATGTTCTACATCTATGCCAAATTTTTGCGAGATCCATTCCGCCATAATTATTCACAATTTTAATGTTAGTATTGTTCGATTTACTTATTTGGTTCATAGATATGATTATTTAATTCATAGAAACTAAGAAATATGTACGTTTTATAAATTCTTGTCCGATTAAAATTTACTAACTATTAATACCCAATTTACCTAATTAAAGATTCTTATATATATTTAACCCTTAATTCGATGGTGTTCAGTGTGACGAACAACTAATAAAAAAAAACTACTGAACTATTATAGTTTAGAGAAAATTACGTAAATATGACTTTACTAGAAAAAAAACAGTTTTTTGCTACAAAAAATTTCGTCGAATTAAGGGTTAATAGATTTATTTTTTTGCAATCTCTGTATACAAAAACATGTCGGGGCCCTCTATCGGTGGTATCTCACACTAGAACGTATAAGTACTTTCGTAATCGATTACGTATAGCTTTATTATTCTAACATAATTTATTTTACTTAAGCTGTTTGTAGATGGCGCTATATGTCTACTACTACTTGCTACTTTGTGACTTTGTTTACTTGTATGAATAGTTTCATTGCTGTTTTCTTTCCTTTCTTCTCTTTACTATAGTTGTGAACAACGTTGTTGGGTACATAATTACTTAGTCTTTGTTATATATTATATTTTTGTATATATTATGTAGTCGCTAGTTGTTCCAAATATAAAAATTGTCTTGTTATTTACCCAAGTAAACCAAAATATTAAATTTATTAAGGTATTGTAACATTTCGTAACGAATGCCAATTAAAATTTTCTCGACAACTTGCGAACTAAACTGAATAACATACTCAATAAAAATGTTACGTAGGCAAATTTGAATTTAATTTTATTTCTGTTATACTCCTTTTTAATGTTACTATCTTAGTTCTCACTAATATTATAAATGCAAATATTTGTATGGATGTTTGTTACAAGGTATCTTCTAAACCGCTGCATGAAACTCGCTGAAATTTGACAGAATCAGAATACAGCCAGGAAGAACACGTAGGCTACTTAGTTTTTTTTTCGCGCGAACGGAGTCGCGGATGACAGCTTGTACAGTCATGATTGTGAGTTTTCATCGGTTGTCTTATACCTACTAACAAATGAGTAATCCCTCTAATTCTTTTTGAAAACTATAAGATAATAATTTTTGTAAGTAATTTTCTCATACGTTGAAAGTGTTATTTAGAGTATACTAAAATTAGGAGAAACAATTTAGTTTTGTCATTACATTTTAAAGAATTACTAATTTTTTGTAACGTTAATAATAAAATGCATATATCTGAGAAGAAATTCAAAGATATGTGTGAAGTCAACCAACCCGCACTTGGCCAGCGTGGTTGTCTATGGCCTAATCACCCTTAACTTAGTGTAGGCTCCGAGCCCCCCGGTGGGGACGTATAGTGAGCTGATGATGAATAATAAAATAATAGAAAAACCTAAGCGGAAGTATTAATGAAAATGTAAGAATTAATAGCAAAACTGCAATTAAAATCATAATTAACAAAATAGAATGGGTCTATTATACAAATTAATTTGTTACATGTGAAGTTTTTGTGCGCGACTGTACTATGCCTATGTGAATGTCTTAACAATAGCATAATACAAGCTTTGTTTCATGTATGTATGAGGACAACATTATTTGCGGAAATCACAAGATATGCAAGGGTCAGAGTAAAGTATAAAAAAACTACTGAACCCGTTAACTAGTTAATTTTATTTTTGTGTGTTTAGTATCAGATTCTTAGACTTATAGCAATCCTTAATCGATTCTGAGTGCAGCTAGAGAGTTTATTCAGAAGATACTTAGATTCTGACTTTGTTACTAATATTATAAATGCGAATGTTTAGATGGATAGATGTTTGTTTAGAACATAGTCTGGTAGAACACATAGGCTACTTATTAAGTTTTTTTTTTTAATATCGGACGGACTCGCGAGCGACAGTTAGTGTAAGATAAAGGCAGAAAGGAACTGCGTTGGTGTTCTTTAATTTTATAAAAGTGATAAGCTATTTGAATATGTCAAAATAAATTAACTAGACTAAAAAGTCTTAAGTCATCCTAAAAAGAGAACAAAGCTAAAGTTAATTTAAAATTAAGTCGTTTCTATCTGTGACAGTTCTAAGTAAACGAGAGCGGGGAGTGGCCCTTTTTTGTCGTTTAATAAAAAAGCTCCTGACTTCAAGTTTTTGTTGAGTTTAACTAAAAATAAACGGAGAATGTTAAATTGAATAAAATTTAAATAGAATGCTCGCTTTGACTAGGCGTTGGATTTACCAATCTTTTTTTTTATTTATTATCTGGAACTAACTCCTGATTCTCGCAAATAGATGTTTTAGTTAAAAGTAAATTGTGTCTCTTAACTTATTCGCGAATTTCGGACTTATTCTTATACAAGTTTGCCTAATCTTTTTCTCGAATCTATAAAATCTCGAAGACAGTTCTAGTTTTTATTAAAAATTACTTAGTTCTTTTAAATGAAAATTATTGGGAAAACGAAAACAAACGTGCAACTCGTTAAGTTTGTAGGTAAGGAAAGTCTATAAAAACGATGAAAGTAAAAAAAAAGAAATTAAAAAAATGACTAGTCAGGTCCCCATTTCAAATGGAAATCCTCTCCTCTGCCTACCCCTTTCATTGGAATCTTTAGTAAAAACCCTTTGCGTTATTATCACTATAAAGATACATTGTGTACGAGAAGGTAAACATTAGACCTTTTTATGTTCCCACGTTAACGGAAACATTTTATATCCGTCTTCGATTACATCTTAACAACCGGAAGATTAACCGTAGTAATTAAATTTGCAAAGTTAAAACAACAATACGTTAACCATCTTACACAAATCTTTAGTTCAAAAAAAATATTTGAGTTTAAAAAATACAAAAGTGATTTAGTTATATGTAATAAGATAGTTTGATCTTAAGGAAGAACCTCACTAGGAATAAAGAAATTACTACCTCGGTAACAATGGACTACATTTTATTAAATTATTTTTTTTTTGAGAATTTACTTTATTATACAGTGCAACGTTATTACGTAACTAAATATAAAAAAAAAACTTTACATGATCAAAAAGGCAACAATTTTTTGTTGATTGTATAACTATTTCTTCTAATTTTCTGATAAAACTTTTTTAAAATTTCGCCGAAAAAGCGAACAATCTATTTTAGGATCTTAGAACTTGTATTTTTTGCAAATATTAGACCAACAATTACAATAACAAATTGACTTATTGAAGTCCTATTTGTTGATTTACACAAGGTGCAAATTAAGTTTTTTATATAAGTTAGTCATGTAAAAAATGACCGTTTTAAAGTAATGCATATCTTAAATTGCTCTTATTTATTTATTTTATATTTAAATGGCAAAGTTATTGAATTTATTATTGTTAAAGTCCAAAGTTTTTGTGGTGTAACTCATGAGCCGCGACAGGCAGTCGTGCAGAGCGAGGCGTGTCATTGTGACCAGCCTCCACCGCCGCGTCAAGGTCAGCCATTGTGCTTCACTTAGGTACAAGTCTATCTCCGTAATAAATAAAATGCAGTTGCTTTTTTATATTTTTTACTTGTTTATTTTTACAGTCTTAACCTAAGAAATTGGTAACCTTTACATCACAACGTACTCGTACATACGCATATACACAAAAGAATCATAACATTTCATACAAATGATATTATAAATATACAAAAGAACGATGCTTGCTGGTGTCCCGGCCGCCGTTAACTCGCCGAGTTATAAATAGCGCAGGTGATTGATTCGCGGATAAACTAAATGAAATTAAATCTATAATACTTTAGTGGCTGTAGTGGGAGCTTCCATAGCTGTAGTGGCCACCGAAGTCGCTACCGCTGAAGTCGTGACCGCTGAAGTCGTGGCCACCGAAATCATGGCCACCATTGCCGACCAGCACGGGGACCTTCACGGGCACGGGCACTGGCTTCTCTACTGGGACTGGGATGTGCTTCTCGATGTGTACAGGGTAGGGCCTGTCGACGGGCACCTTCACGGGGTAAGCTACGGGCCTTTCGACCTCAACGGGAATGTGCTTGTAGACGGGGTAGGGCTCTGGCACGGCGACCTTCACGGGCACGGGGTAGGGCCTCTCGACGTGCACGGGGTAGGGCCTGTCTACGGGCACGTGGACGGGGTAGGCGACTGGCTTCTCAACTGGAACAGCGACGGGAACGGGCTTCTCGACGGGGTAGGGAGCGGGCACGTGCACGGGGTAAGGCCTGTCGACGGGTACCTTGACTGGAACTCCGACGTGTTTCACGACCGGGTAGGGCTGGGGAACGGGTACCTTTACTTCGACGGGGTATGGCACGTGTTTCTCCACGGGGTAGGGTTGGGGCACTGGTACCTTCACGGGGTAAGGTACGTGCTTCTCAACGGGGTAGGGCTGGGGAACGAGAACCTTAACGGGGTAAGGCCTGTCGACTGGAACATGGACGGGGTAGGGCACCTTCTTCTCGACAGGGTAAGGTGCGGGCACATGGACTGGAACTTTAACGTACTCCTTCACGTGAACAGGCACGTGTTTGACGACCTCATAGGGCTGCGGTACGGGAACCTTCACGGGGTACGGTACATGCTTCTCCACTGGGTACGGCACTGGTCTGTCGACGGGGACGCCCACTGGTACTCCTTTGACAAGGGTGATAGTTCTGAGGGTATCAGTGTGGGCTCCGAGGTTGATGGAGCCGTAGCCGTGGGCGAGACCGGAGTCCTGGATGACGTTGTAGGCGCCGCCGAAGCCGGAGCCGTGACCAATGTGGCCGATATCGAGGCCGCTGATTCCGTATCCGTAGCCGAGGTTCAGGAGACCACGTTTGTCCAGTTTTTTCTCCAAAGGCTCCGCCTTACTTTCTGTCGACTTATTCTCGCTGGCAGCAGCCGCTGCTACCAGCAGGAAAACTAGGCAGATCTGGAACAATTGATGCAAAAACATATATATAAATATATAAAATTATTGCACAGTGTATTAGATAATCAAGAAAGTGGACGGATACAGCGATAAATTGAATCTGTTTAAATAGTCAACATTGATAGATGCTGCTTGCATTATACGACTCTAAATTATAACATAACGTTACGTGAACAGTGACAATTGTGTTTGTTGATACAACTTTAGGAGTTTTGAAATTTACGATATCATATAACTTTTATTATCGTCTATCGTAAAAAGTGCCGGTTTATTCGTTATAAAAAATATAAAATCTTTCAATGAAACTAAGAAAAATGTCTAGAAACTAGTGTCATTTCTTGCCATACTTCTTTCGCACTGGCTTATTGATGTCACAGCGTTTGTCAACATCATACGTCCCTAATTAACCTACGTCACAATGCTACTTTTTGTAATACTGTCGCCATGTCACAATGCTGTTAATTGTAGGCAATTGTTTTTATGTTCAGAACAACTCATTTTGATCCTATAAAATCCATGGTTTAATTTAAAACTGCTTACGATGATACAAAGATTAAGCAAAATATATTAGTTTTAAGTATGAATTTTAATGAGTCGCTTTACAAATCTTTTAGGAATCCACACAAGTATTGACACTGGAATGTTAAAATAAACAAAATATACGAGGTCATTCTAATTTCACTTTTAAGTTACTATGTATATAAACATAAGTTTGACAAAAAAAATATTGAAAACTGTTGTTTTCATCTACTTAATATTATAATTTATTAACTATTTCTAAAAAGCAAGTATAATAAATAAGCATCAAGGATTTTAAACAGGTTTTATAAATGAAAAACCCAATTTTAGAATATTATCAAGGTTTATGTTGCAATGTGTTATCGCCTTAAAAGGTGTAAGCCACGCAATTTGTGGCTATTGATATTTTAAAATCCAAAATTGGGTAACATTGAATAATAAAAGTGTTCAAAATTTCTTTGAAATTTTACAACACTGAGATTTTTAGTATGACTTTATTATGAAGAAAAAAAAATTATGTTGGTATGCCAGCTCACTATAGGTTCCCACTGAGGTATTCGGAGCTTACCCTAAGTTACGGGTGACTAGACTATAGTCAACCACGCTGGCCTAGTGAGAGTTGGTTGACTTCGTACATATCTTTGAATTCTTTTGAATCTTCTCAGATATGTGCAGTTTGCATCATGTAAATCTAAAACCACATAGGTACATGGCGGGATTCGAACCCACGACCTGTAGATTACAAGTAAAGTGCTTAACCCCTGAGCCACCGACGTTCAGTGGCGTATGGCGTGGGTGTTTGCGTATGCCTAACAATAATGTGACAGACGTAAAAATAAATTATGCTAATTAAATAAAAAAGAAGCTCATGAATTATAATTAGTGATAATAAAAAATAAAACTCAGTTATATGTAACAGTAAATGCGTAAGTGTACGTAATTGGTTGAATAACGTTTCCGTGAGTCATCATTAAGACAGTTTTATTGATATCGACGACATAAGAATGTGGATTGTAAGACGGGAGTTCGGATGGAAAAAGTTTTTGCACTTACATAAGAAGCTGCAACATCTGAGTTTATTTTTAAATACATCATTTAATCGGTAATAACGATGCAATATAACTACGATGTAACTTGAAACATAAAATATTTAAGTTAGTTATAATCGGTTCCAAATTATTGATTGTCTTGCAACTTTTTTGAATTTATAACGTAAACAATCCGATAGAGTTATTAAGCTTTTAAAATTATTAAATTTTTTTAAATTAAATATTTAAAATGCCTCATAAAATTAAAGATTTATTAGGAATTATTCTTATATATATTAGTTTAATTTATAATTTAATTACAATTTTCAATTTCCATTTATCTATATTAAATTGGAACGTTTCGTAATACAAAGAACAAAAGCTCAGTTCACGAAATAAAAACACAATCTTGCATTGTTTGTACGTAAATGATGTTAATGGGTGGGAACTGAACGGCCTGGGAACTACAAATCGGCCCTCTAAGGATAGATTGCACTTTCGCAATCCAATTGCCACGTAACCTAACATCTAATTTAGAACACAATAAAACACAATATTACTGATAAATAATAGTAAATTTATCTGTTAAAAGAAAATTGTGTGATTTCCAAATCGTCAAGCCGTTTAAGCTACAGGATGTTAAAAATTGTAAATGTATGTAAAATTTCTTACGCTTAAAAACATTACTTTTATGTAAATCAGTTGTTTAGTATTAATTTGTCGGTGTAATTATTTTACACGATTTTAATTGTATGAAGTAAAATGATTTAGAACAGGATATATAATTTTTGCGTAGTATAGAATTGTCTCATTATTCATATTTTCGTTGCAAAAGCTACAAATTCTAAAGTGGATAAACCAGTCGTCATACCTTTTAAGGTAAATCAGGTTATACAGGATGCAGATATAATTTACGCAATTCTCTATACATATTTATATTATTTGTATATCTAACTATGTTATTAAAAGCTCTATCTTTGCCTACACTAAGATATAGAGAGTATTTCAAAAAACATTAAAACGATAAAAGTGTGCATTTAAAAAGATATCGTGATTTATTTGACTAATTAATTGTTATGTTAACATTTATAAGCTGTTCGTTATGCGCTGAATATTACGCTACATTTCCAATTACACGCAACTTGTAACAAAAACAAGGATCATAAAATACAATCCTTGTCAAACGAGTAGAATTTTCCTTTACGTAAGTGAATTAGAGACGGTCTATTTCCCCCGCATAAGTTACACAACACGAGGGAGTCAGGCATATACACACGGAGTATAGACACTCAGGTTTCCTGACTTCTCTTCCTTGTTTCGATAGTCACAAACCTGTCAAACTTGATCGGAAGAGAAATCTATTGTGACGCAATACAGGGATTGTCTAATATATTTCTAATATTAGGGCGATGGAAAACTTCTTGTTAAAATTCTTTAATTTTCAATTTGATAGTCAAAATACTCATTTTAAACCACAAATTGTAATACTACACCAAAAATTAAATATCAATCTTGATATGTATTTTAAACATAATGTTATGTAGAATTAATTTCTTTTTTGTTCATTAAATACAACGTATATTTATCTACTACTACTACGTAACAAATTTAAAGTATAGATTTAAAGTTTATTTGCCTATAAAATATAATAACGTTGCTACATTGGTTTTTGTGAGTGATGTTTGATGTTAATAGACGTATTTATGATGAAATTACTTAACTTCTTCAAAGTAATTGCAATATAACGAGTATTTGCTACTGAATTTGTTCGAGAATAGATAAGTATTCGTCGCAAGGTAATCTTGCAAATTATTCGTAGTGAATGTTTCAATGAAGTGTTTGCTCATAATTATTGACATGACCGTTATTGACGTTAAGAATTTAAGACGGAATATTTAAGTTTTATGATGGAAGTTAAAGATTTGAATTTGGAATAAAAATACGTATGTAGAGATGTGCGTTCAAAGAAAGCTTCGAAAAGCTTATAAATAATTAATTAATTATAAAATTAATTGAATCCAGAAAACGATCGAGTTAACATCTACGAGTTGCCGTTTATTGAATTAAAAGTATATCGCATGTGTAAACGTAAATCGTCTAATTTATTTAATTCGATTGATCTATTTAATTTTGAATGATATAAAGATATGCCCCACAGTATATGCGTGAAGACTTCAAAAAAGTGTGTCACTATCAAGATTTAATCTAATATTACTGACGATCACTTTGGTCACGGGACACACTTGCGAACACTTTTTTGAAGTCGTCACTGAACATCACTCGAACACTTTTACACTTAATTTATCACTCACCGTCGTTCTCATTTTGCCTCTTGAACGATGGTTGTTGGGATTCGAACTGGATGTAGTTTGGACTGTGTGTTGTGTTTTTATAGGTAGTTATTTGGTAGCACTTTCGCCATTGCCCCCCTAGTAGTCTGGATGCGGCGTAGGGTTGCCGCCACCGGTAAGCTCACTCCTTCGTATTCGTTGAATCGACAGCCACGAGACGGACGTCGCGCGTTATTTTTTTTTAGTAGCCAGTAACAAAAAAATTAAAACAAACAAAAGATGTTTGTTTTAATTATTAGTGTAGTTTTTTTAAATAGAATAATATTCATGAGTGAAAATTTTATAAGTTTTACGTAAAAATAAAATGTAGACATCTTAATAGGAACGGAAATTATTTAAATCTTTGCACTATTACATTTTAGTTCGAACTTAATTAGTGTGAGATTAATTAATTATAATAATTTTATTTTAACTTCATAACTTTATTTAGAGTTACCGTGTTTTAATTAAATATGTCAAGTTATGTGAAAAATTTTTACTTTCATTTGAAATAATTCCTGCATAATAATTGTTTCAAGTAATAAAAAAAATAAGGAAATAGTTTTTTCATACACACTTAGGTATCTCACGATTCTTATTCAACTTAATTATGTTGTTTTATATTAATTACTGACATTTTTGACTTATGTTAGAATCCTGGTTTAAACGTTTATATCAGCAGTTGTATATGGCAGAAAAAAGGATGAGTTCTAGTGATACTTTAAAGGATTTGTGGAGGAGACATGACCCCATACTGTATAAAATGGACCAAATGTTTAAGCTAAATTTTAGCTTTAAATCACAGTATTGAAGGTATATAATCAAAGACCTGTCAATTGTCATAGAACCTAAGGGTACAGGGTAAAACTCTCACTTCCTATCCACCCTTAAGTCTCTATTTTTTTTAATACTAAGTTAAATCCTGAGTTAGAGATATTGCCTAAAGTATTAGTATAGTAGAGTCAACTGTTAAATGTAAAAGAAAAAAATTGTTTGATAAATTACTTTACCAAAGAAATAAAAATATATGTAGCGTAACATCTATGTAGAGTCTTTGTATAAACTTTAAAACTTTAAACGAATAAATTAAAAACTTTAATATAAAATATGAACAAGGAAATTGTATTACGTGTAAGGTAACAGGCACTCGAAGTTTCAGAGTCCTTGTGAGAAACGATTACGTGCAGTCGACGCGGAAACTCGATCATTGGAAATTACGCACTTTACACTAAAGTACTTCTTAACATTCCGAAGAAATTATTACATACCAAAATAATCAACATGTCTTTAACAAAGGGCTGACAGACAGCAATCATTATCATCAGCTCACTATATGTAATCAGAAGGGGCTCGGAGCCTAACTTAAGTTAGGGGTGACTAGCCCATAGTCCACCACGCTGGCCCATTGCTTGACTTCACACCTACCTTTAAATTCGCGATTTTTTCTTTCGCTTTAAGAAGACAGCTATCATTTTTCCCAAAAAAAATCCAAATTGCTTTTTTTTACTTTATTTAATTCTTCTTATATAATCATATTCTTGTACAATGTACTTTATTAATAAACAATTTAATGTATGACGACTCAAACAGAAACTTCATTTGTTTGTTCGTATTTATTTTTAAAAATTATAAAAGGATACCGACGAGTTCAGATTAGATAATATCTGCAAAACCTAATTATAATTTACTTTAACCTCGACCTAATATCAAATTTCAGATAAAAACTCACCGAAAAAAAAATCACTTTAGCAACTCTATTATAAATAAATCCAGAATGTTTTACGGTTTAAATATTTTACTAATAAAAACTAACCTTAAACTGGTGTCCGTGTGATCTATTTTTAATTGTTACAATAGAAAGGTCAATTTACTTTGTATTGATTCAGGAGAGGTGTTAATAAAAATCTGGAATTCTTGCTTATTCAGCGAAATATGGTATGACCAATTGAAGGCGATCATTCATAACATGGTTCTACGTCTAATTAAGTTCTTATCGAATTCGTGATCAAATACTTATCATTATAAAGTTATATCTTACTAATATTATTATTGAAAATGTTTGGATGTATTTCCAAACCGCTACGACTTAGGGTCCTTCAAGAAGCGAGCTTATCACCACCTAAAAGGCGGGCAACGCATCTGCGGATCCTCTGGTATTGCTGATGTCCATGGGCGTCGTTGAACACCTCGGTGTTCCCGCTGCTCGTTTGCCCACTTCTGTTATAAAAAAAAATGTATGGATGTTTGAAGGTATCTCCAGATCGGCTGCATGGATCTTACTGAAATTGAGCATAGGTGTAAAAGAACGAAAGGCTTCTAAGTTTTTTTAATTCCACGCAGTCCGAGTCGCGGGCGACAGCTAGTTGTTTACAATGATTTAATCAAGCCTTATCTTTATGTAAAGTGACGTACATCAAGTGTACAAGTTAGCTGAAAGTGTCATTACGTTTGATAAAAAGTATCCACTTTTCTTTTAGAATCCAGTATGTCTTTGATTTAACTTTTTTTTAAACTCTATTATTTCCAAACCAATACGACTTAGTGACCTTCAAGATGCATACCATTTCCTTAAAGGCCGGCAACGCATCTGCAGTTCCTCTGGTGTTCCTGATGTCCATGGGTGTCGTTGATCACCTCGGTGTTCCCGCCGCTCATTTGCCCACTTCTCTTATAAAAAAACCTCTACTATATATTTTACGTGTATATAGTTCCGAGTTGTGTATTTAAATCATAACTTATCGTACTTGATAATTTCATGCGTATAATTGTGAAGAATTCGTTTTAATATTTCCTCAAATTAATTAAGTGTTAATACAAAGTTTGCAAGCAGAGGAAAGGTCGTTCCGGTAACCAATTACTTGAGCATTTCAATAACAATACACTTTTACGTTATTTATGATTATTTTTGTATGTGAAAAATCAATATTCAAGGTAAATTTTCCAAAATCGGTCAACTAAATATTTTGTTCAAAATTTTTCTGATTTTTTTTTATTATTACATTTGTGAGGTTTATGATCGAACGTTACAATTTCCGTAATTCATGTATTACCTTGTCCATTTGTTATGAAATAAATTAATTAAATAGTTGTATCGATATATGATCCAAATATGGAAAGTTACATTAATTCGAAAGTTAACATGTTCAAAAATTATGAATAACTTACTATTTTTGTTTAATTTACTGTTACATAATTAGCTTTCAACAATTTTCATAAACTGATATAAAATTGACTAAACACTCACGTATATTCGTTCGGTGGCGGCACCGACTAGTTTCGAGCCCATCGGGGGCCCTTCATCAGGATCAGTGAGCGACGGGCTGCATCCGCGAAATAATACCAGTACCACTGATCCTGATGAAGGGCTCCCGATGAGCTCGAAACTAGTCGGTGCCGCCACCGGACGAATATACGTGAGTGTTTAGCCGTTTTTATATCAGTTTAGTATAATGTTTCACGAAAGTTTGAATAGTTTAATTTTCATAAAGGCACAAGTACTGTCACTTTGGAAAAAGAGCGACAACAGACGTCATAACCTCGTCATTCCTTATACTTTAGTATCTAATACAACCTGTTGTAAAATAAAAATAAAAAACAAAACATTGTTTTGATTGATGCATTGTTAATTGCAACGTAAGTCCATAAACGCAACTAAAATTATCACAGACACAAATTTGAACATCCTTTATGCAGTGTTGCTATACATACAAGTACAGAAGGATTAAATTCTTCTCTTACTAGTGATGATATATAAATGTAAATGTTTCGATGTATGGATGGATGGATCTTTGTTTTGATTTCTTGAACGGTTGCTTGAATTTCACTAAAATTTGACATATATCTAGAACATATAGGCTACTTATTTTTTTATAATACACGGACGGACGTAGTCGCGGACAAACAGTTAGTCCTAATAAATCTTACCATTTAGAACATATAGTACTTTCACATACGTTGACAAGATTACGCGGTGGTGTTTACGTAATTCACTTTGGACCAGTAACCTTGAACTCTTAGACCCTAAAATGGGAGCAGCGCAGGCGGTAGAGTTCAGTATATGATTATAAACGCGACGGTTATGGAGCTGTCGAGGTTCAACCAGTTCTGGACCAACGTTTCCTTCTGCTTACTTAACATGCACTACTTATTTTATTTAACGAGCATTATTGCATAAAAAACGAGTTACGAAAATATTATTTAAATATTTCTTATTCAATTTAGTAAATATAATATTCAAGAAAACATTAATTGTGAATAATTGTCTCATAAATGTTATAATTTGTTTTGTAATCATTCCATAAACTTTTGTATTAAAAATACAGTTAAGCTAAAAAGTAAAAAAAACATTAGCCCCCTGTCTTCATCTTTCTCATTAAGTTATTAGAAATTGCAGAATCGCTTTGCACCACAATTCTCAAATCTAATTTAATTTTTAACAAAAATAGCTCGGAACTGTATCCTAAATATCGCAAGAAATAAGTGTCGTATTCAAAAAAAAAGGTGGACCAATACGAAATATTATTTTGTGAACCTTACACATGAACGAGAGGATTCAATTGTTTTTGTGACGTCACTCCAGGACATACGAAAGGATATCATGAAAACTAGACAGTAATTATAGATAACAATATCCAGAGTAACTTGATTTTTATCAACTAAAATATTTCTCTATTTAAAAAGCAATTATACGTCAAAGAGTTCCGTTAGTTTTATTCTATTGTCGTAATTCGATCAATGTTAGTAACTGATAAATATTATAACTAAAATAAAGTTCCAAGGTTAACTGTTCCACTTGAACTTGATGAAAACAAACCTTTCTAATCTTTGTCTTTGATACGGTTAAAATTATAGAGAAAAAACATTAACGATACAGTTGTTTTAATAACATTCTTATTTGAAATACGCAAACGGTTTGTTATCATTTGTGTATATTAACATAGAATTTTAGACATGCTTTTATAAGCTGTTAACTTTCAATCGCACGGGCGTTTTTTCAACGCCTCGTTTAAACGCAGCAATGGCGGTTCCCGAATAAGGAATATTTGAAAATCGCTATT